ATTTATAAAAAAAAATTAAAAAATATCATGTATAATTATTTTATAAAACCCATTAGTAAAATTGCATTTGTATATTTTTTTATATTTTATATATATGTATAATAGTATATATTAGTACTTATAATATTATTACATAATAATAATTATTAAAAGATCTTTGTTAAAATGGAATATTTCTAGCAAATGGTTTTTCGATAATTATTACCCCCCTTACCCCTATTTTTAAAAGCAGTTTTTTTTAAGCTAGACATATTAATTTTATTAATTTTTTATTTAATAGATTGTCAAAACAAAACAAGTAAAAAAAAGAAGTCATTATTAGGAATTTTTTTTATATAATTTTGTCAATTTATCATTAATTTTTTTTATTACCTTATCCACCCCACCCCACTTACCTTTTTCAACTTAGTATCGATAAAAAAAAACTTGTTTAATTTGACCATTTTTGAATTATTTTTTCGTCTTGGAATTTTGTTCGCTTCGGAATCAATCCTACTTGATACGCTTATAGTTAGTGATAAAAAAACATACATTTTTCAAATTATTTGGCGAGGCAAATTTTACCTTGTTTTCCTATGTTCAAAGTGTACAGGTTTTACTCAGCACTTAACGAGAGATATAAAAAAAATTGTGGTAATTATCATCCATTTCTACTTTATAATAATAATCATCATTTATTTTATTTTGTATTCAATTCATTTTTTTTTGGTTTTATGACCATATTTTACCTGTCACATATCTACAGGTGTATATTTGACAATTTTATTTAAATTTTTTTTTTAGAAACATTATTCTTTTTGTATTATGACAGTTTTAGTTTGTATTTTTTTTAAAAAAAAATATTTGACATAATGACATGTTTAACCGACCACTGGCTAAAAAATAATGACATGTTTAACCTACCACTGGCAAATAAAATATATTACATAATGGCATGTTTTGCCAACCACTGGCTTAAAAATAAAGACATGTTTAGCCGACCACTGGCAAATAAAATATATTACATAATGACATGAACCGACCACGGAAAAAGAATATATGACATAATGACATGTTTAATCAATCACTGACAAAAAAATATATGTGACATGTTTAACCAACCACTGGCAAAAATATATATGACATAATGACATGTTTAACCGACCACTGGCAAAAAAATATATGTGACATGTTTAACCAACCACTGGCAAAAATATATTACATAATGACATGTTTAACCGACCACTGGCAAAAAAATATATGTGACATGTTTAACCTACCAATGGCAAATTTATATCTTTTCCTTGGCAATACATATGAAATGGTATTTATTTCTTTTTAGAGAAATTTGGTATTACCCCAAATGTCTGATGTTTAAAAGGTATTCGATTAGTTGGGCTTGGATAAGATATTATATATAAAAAAAATTTTTTTACTTAAGGCTGTGTCCAAAATATCAAAATAATTAAATCAAAAACTTTCAAAACTTTAATGAAAAAAATGAATAAATAAACTATTTTTAAAATATAAAATAAAAACATGCCCCAAAAACATATTTCTAGAAAATTTTATCAATTTCATAAAATTTGACATATGATTTCAATTAAATTTTGCAAAAAGGTTTTGAAGCTTAAAAAATGATTTTGGACACCGCTTAAATAAAACTTATAGAAATATATGTTATGCATCAATATCTTATGAATTTCAGAAAATTGTGCAATGCAATTAAATTTTGAAGTCGTTTATAATTTATATGAAAAATCTATGGAAAACGAATATAAATTAGAATATAGGTTCAAGAGTTCGTGACAAAATATTCCAGGGTAGGTATTCCCAGGGTGTTAACTTCTACTCAAACATGGTCAAATACATCTTCACAGTATCGTATGCTCTTTTGAAGATCAAAAAAAAACGTGCTAGAAAGATGATTTAAGGTTCGCTAAAAATAACCAGATTTTTGTAAAACTCTGGGTACTTCCAAACATGGATGGAGATACAGTTTCAGCGGCTAAAATAAGATTTTGATACCAATTTTTTTAATCAAAAATCTGTCTAGCTACAAATACCACATTTTTATATCTAGATACAAGGTCTTTGACAACTCTGAAAATAACACATTCCCGCTTAACGTATAGATCATGAAATGGAATCCATTTTTACTTTTATCAAATTAATAAATAATTTATTACAAAAATATAGGAAACATAATTTCTATCAACGTGTCCATTAGATTATTTTTTTTCTCGGAGGGATATTCAAATTCAAAATATTAAAATTTTTGCTTCCATTTTTTTATGGGGGGGAGGGGAGGGGGTGGCTCGAGCCTCTTTATAACCCTGCCCTAGTGACGTCACTGATTTCTTTATTGATATAAACAAACATATTATCGAATATCAATATTTATGATATTATAAAGTATTCTTTGTTGGTGTAAGGATATTTTTTAATAAAATTGCATTGACGTCTCTGAACCCTAATCCAAACCTATCCATCTTGAACTAGAACGGAGTTTCACGTTTTTGATTTATTTTTTAATCCCTTCATAAAAAGGTTTTATTCTTTAAAAAAATCTTGATTTTAATCATGAAAGATTTTTTTTAAAAAAATATGATTTTAATCATTAAAGATTTCTATTTAAAATGTGTTTTATTAATCATGGAAAATTTTTTATGCAAAAAAAAAATCACAAAAAATTTGGAATTTTAGTTAAAATTTGATCGAAAATTCTGACTAAAAAAATCTTTCAGAGATCAAAATCTTTGAAGATTTTTATATTTTGAAACATATGTTAAACTATTTGTCACCAGAGCTCTGCAGGTAGCAAGAGAAATTTTAGCTAAAATTGATCGAAAATCCTGTAAAAAAATCTTTCAGAGATCAAAATCTTTGAAGATTTTTATATTTTGAAACATATGTTAGACTATTTGTCACCAAAACTCTGCAGGTAGCAAGAGAAATTTTAGTTAAAATTGATCGAAAATCCTGTAAAAAAATCTTTCAGAGATCAAAATCTTTGAAGATTTTTATATTTTGAAACATATGTTAAACTATTTGTCACCAGAGCTCTGCGGGTAACAAGATTTTCATACCCGACCCGGTGGGAATTTGGTTCATGCCCGGTCCGGCCTAGTTTCAGCTTTTTACTAAGGTTTTTACCCAGCAAGGCCTGGTTTTTTAAATAAAAGACCTTATATCTTTTTGAACACCAAACACATTGCCTTAAGGAGTAAAATGAGATAGGGTTTATTTTAATTATTTTCCTTATTTTGGATCACTTAAAATTTCTATTTTTTTTTTCTATTTTAAGTGTGAAATGCATTTTGAAAATTAAAAGCAATTTTAAATGAATATATTTCTCTTTTTTAAAAAAAAATAAATATTTTGGCCTTTCCTTCACCTATTAATAAAATGTATGATTGTAATAATAACCGTAGATAATCATTTAACTTTGGAGATAGATTTAATAATATTCCACTAGGAAGAATTTATAATAATTATATATTTTTTATTTGATATTCGCATCTTATTAATTTGATAATCTCCTTATAATCTTTATCAAATTTCAAATATATAACCTGTTTTTTTAATCAAAATATCTTAATAATTTTGATATATTTTTTTAAATTCTGCGTTTAGTATAGTATACGATATTTAAAATATTATATTATATATAGATATCGGAGACCTTCAGGCCCGGCCATAAAGCCCGTAATTTTTTTTAAATACCCAAGTCCGACATAAAAAAGTGGTTTTATAAAAAAAATACCCGGGCCGGGCCGAATATCTTTAATCGCTTGTTATTTGAAAATTAAAAATAAAACTTTTAAAATCCGGGCCGGGCCCGAATATATCTCCTCCGAGCACAAATCTCCGCCTCCGAAGCGCGTTCCTAAAAGTAATATCGAACGCGCGGTGTCTAATTAAACCGTTAGCGGAATTTACCCAAGGGCTCCCTAGATATTTTTTTTACAACTGTTTAATGTCTATTTATTTTGCTATTTTTTTTTTTGGTTTAAATATAAAATGGCGCTCATTCATCTTCTCTCACTTAGTAAGGTATCTCTACGCTAAGCCAGCTGATCAGATTTTTTTTAAAAAAACGCCTAATTTACTACAATTTGGTATGTAAGTTAATGAAGTGTTGTAATTGGCGAATCCAAAATATACTCTACCAAAACCGGAGAGGGTCTCATCTGCTTGGATTAGATTTAATAAGTTATCGATAGAAAATAAATGACAAATTATTACAAAATTGTTTTTTTTATTAATTATTCCTAATAATTCGATTCGAATAAAACTGATTAGTCTAATTATTCGATATTCCTTTTGAATGGGTCTAAGTCGACATTTGTGACATAATTAGAATAATTAATTCTTTCGCTTCTTAATTTATTTCCCCCCTCCCCTTCACCATTAATATTTTAATGAGAGATGCAAAGGGATAATCGTTACAATCTATATAAGTATCGACTCTGATATCCATTTTTCCTAAAGTAAGAAAACGCCATATTTAATATTTTTTAAAATAAATCGAAGGATGGGAGAAGGGAAAAAAAATCTAAATTTTTTTTTATATTTTATCGATTTGATAAAAGGAGAAAGTGAGTATAATTTTTTTATTTTTTTATGAACGAGAAAATGGTGGGAGAGGTTTATAGCATTTTTATTTTAAATAAAAAATGAAAATTATATTAAATAAATGTAAATTTTTTTTTTTGTTTTCTTCATCTTAAAAAAAATGACTTTATACAAGAATAGCCAAACATTTATATATATATACCCCTTTGAAATCGGATAACGCCGTTAATCCTAATCGATGTTTTTCGAATAATTGACTATTCGATTTTGCTAAACGAATATCGAATAATCGACTATACGATTCGAATAATTTTAGGTATAATAGTAAATTATTCCATTTATTTCCCTCGTTCGTTTTTTGAAATCTAAAAAATCGTTTATAATATTTTATATTATATATATAAGTTAAATCAAATTTATATAATAAAATATTTTTAAAAAAGTGCCGGGAGAGCCGCGTAACGTTACCCTCTTGGCCTTGAACTCGAGTTCCGTATCCGTCCACTGGCAGCCGCCGCACGAGAATGAAAGGAACGGCGAAATCATGGGATATTTGGTCCACTATAGACAGGTCGACCTCGTATATTTATCATTACTATGAGCTCGGGGCAAAATAAATATCGGGTTTTGTTATTTTTACCTTTCAATTTTCAGGGAAAAAACTTAAGATTTTTAGGAATCAATGACCGGGCAAAATTTTTTAGCGTCATTTGGATAAGAAGGGCCATCTCTAAAGTACGATATTCGCGTCAGTAAGTTTGTGGTCTGAGAATTATTTTTAGATATTTCTTTCGATTCTGTCATGATGAATGAGTTGGGTGCCAATCGTGAATATTTTTTTTTAAAAAAAGGTGCTAGCAAAAGGTAAGCACATAGGCCCTTTCAAGCAATTAACGATCCCGGATGGGAACGTCGGAAACATAGATTTGGCTGACTTGAAAGCTGACTCGTTTTACAAAGTCCAATTGTCGGCCTTCACTCGGAAAGGTGACGGCTACAGGAGCAAAGCAAAAATAGTCAAAACAATGGGAGGAGGTGTTGATTTTTTAAAATTATTATTATAATTTGATCAGATTATGATAAATATGGGCTTATTGATATTCTTGACCAATCAAATCACCGATATCCAACAGATCTAATTTTTAACAAGATTTACAAACCCCCCCCCCCAATCATTACTAAAAGATCGTCCAAAAATTTGAGATTTTATGAATATCAAAAAAAAATATTAAAAATGCCTAAAATTTGACAAAAATAAAATGATCAATGGAGGTTGTTTTTTTTTGTTAAACCTTGATTTTTAATTACTAAATTATATTAGGGTATGAGACGTTGAATTAATAAAGCTTATTAACGGCGCTGAGTATTATATTGTTCTATATCCACTTTCTGCTGGCAACATGCTTTAATGTTAAAATTTAGAAATGATCCCTTATTTCCATCATTACATTAAAATACAATAAGGAAAACTTCATTTTTTAAAAAAAAAATGCTCCCCTAAACAAATTTTTTTTTAAATGAATGGATATGACACGCTAACACTCAGCCAATACTAACTTACGCCGCCATATTTTATCGATTTTACGTGTTTTTTTTTAAATTAAGTTCCCACTAGCCCCAACCTGTCGTTGAGACTGCTGGAGGAATACCCGGAGTTGATAGTCCAGGCGGAATGGACTAGGCCACTTATCACCTACGGACCCCTTCTGGGATACAAATTATCCTTCAAACCGGTCTATCCCGAGTCCTCGTATTCAACGAATACCGGAAGGGAGTTAGGAAACGAAAACGATTTGAGCGGGTCTAAAAGCGTGGATTTGGAGGGTGGCGATATTTACTACTACAATTTCGAACATTTGGGTAAGAACCTTTTCTTCTTTAATATATAATTTTTTTAAAAAAATCTAATCTTTATTTGTTTACGTGTGCAGAAAGGGGCAAGAACTATTTGTTCAAACTATCGGCCAAGAATTCTAGAGGCTACGGCGAGGAGATACTCAAATATTTTGAAACTCCGGAAGGAAGTATAATGTTTCGCCATTTTATTTCGCAACATTTTTTAAAACGATATCTTTTTAAGAAAATGTACAGTTCAACATATATAATAGTTGCGTACAAATTTAGCGTTTCGAACGCTGCGCATGCGAATGCGAATAATTGACGAAATTATTTGGAATCAGCTCTTAACCTGATCATGAAAAATCAATGCCGGTTTACTGAATTGAATGTAATTGTATCGGGATGTCGATTTATAATTTTAAAATAGTTTGCTAAACCGTAATTTGAAAACCATCGTTTGCATCGCAGCATTTAAAACGCTCTTCGTTATTAAAAGTAACGATGGCGTGTTACTTTATAAAAAATAAGATACTTTTACCGCACTGATAATCATAGGTCCATCGGGTCGATATTTCTCGTTGGTATAGGTGACACTAAGCCGAAATATTTTTTTAATAAGTTTTATATTTTGTTACATTGGAAGGGGTTTTTTTTAGTGCCTGGGTAATAAAAGTTTTGTCGGCTACCTTGCGTCGCATTTCACTTGAGTTCTTTAAAGGACGAGTTGTAGACCAACATACAAAATGAATGAATGAGTTATATTAATGTATTTTTTTTTATCCTTTAAAAATTTAATGTACATTATGGTTTTATCAAAAGAATATAACAAAACTTAAATATCATTTTTACGAAATTTTAAAGCATTAAATTTATTAAAATGGAGCAAATTTTTAAATAATAATCATAATGAAAAATATTAAAACATAATAGGTAGATTAGTTTGTATTTGTATTTAAGATGATTTCTAAATTGTAATAATTAAAAATTAGAAAAGAAAAAAAATCTGTTTTTAGATTATATTTTTTATAAAGATCGTAGGTTATAATAAATAAAAAATTTGTGTTTTTTTCAGGAAAAAAAATAATTTTTTTTTAATTTCATATATCGGCGTATCTCTGCTGATAATTGCTAAACATCGTTGATTTTAAATTTTGCCCTAAATTATAATTTTTTTACTAAAATAAATCACTCAACAGTACCGACCAAAGCTCCCGTTAATCTCACGTACGAATTCAAGACTCCTACGACTATAAATTTCGGATGGTCATTGGACCCTGACCCGACATCTTGGAATGGACAGATAACCTTGCACGAATTGTCCTATTACGACTTGGTAAAGATCACTCATAATTAACGATACTTTGGCTTTTTTAAAAAAAATATATATTTTAAAATTCACCGGCGGGAAAGAAAGAAAGAAATGAACAAGTGTTATTACAATAGCAAGAGCATTTTAAGTTATTTTGAGGGAAACCTTATATTCCCAGTGGAGTTGAATATTTTATAATTTATTGATTTTAAAATTCCCAAAAAAGGCCACACAGTCGGACACTATATCTCGCAACTCTACCAATCCGCGTTCCGTTGTGAAGGGTCTCAAAATAGGGAGTTCTTACTCCTTTCGAATCAGGTGCTTCACAGCAAAGGGTGCTAGTCCTTGGTCACCAGCCCTAACCATCCACTTGTCCTCCAAAGGTAAATCGACTCTTAAGATTGTTTGGTCATTTTCCAAGTTGCTAAAAAAATTTGGAATTTTCACTTTTATTTGTTTTTGAATTTCGACAATATATTTTTTGTTTTTGTTTCAATATGATAATAGAAGCGTCCCCTCCAGTCAGGAATGTTAAAGGTTACGCCATATCTAACACTTCAGCATCTATCTATTGGGATCCACCGGTATTGGACAATATAACCTCCCTATCATCGACCGATATTACTCCTGTCATAAAATATCAAGTATATGAAAATTTTAAAAAAAAATTAAAGTTATATCCTCTAAAAAAATGCGTCCTTTTAGCGAATTTTGTATATGTAAATATTTATTTATATAAATCAGTTTACATTTCTGGTTAAGAAAAATAAATGAGTTTGTTTGATTTCGAACTTTATATTTAATTCTTTATATCAAAAATAAAATATCCGCATAAGATTTTCTACACCTCGAAAGCTGATCAGGATTACGATTATTGGGATTCGACGATATTCTCGATCGATTCCGAATATTTAAATTTGAATACCGGATATTTGTTCAATATTGGAAAACGCCTTAACGGCGACTTGATAGATTTAGAATCCGGGACTGTTTACGCCATTCAAATATCGGCTCTGACGGATAATGGTTTGGGTCAGTTATCCGAACCAATTGCAACGGTTAAAACTGAACCGGTTAATATCCCCGATGAGTTGAGTCTCACGAATGTAGGGAGTTTCGAGATGATTGTCAACTGGAAAAGTCCCGCGATATTTAGAGATATGGCAGCTCTCAATAGCGAGGGACAACTGGAATATGAAGTTATAAATCATAAACTATAAGATATTTCTTAGAATGATCAAATTTTTAAAAAATGGGTCTGGCCGACAAATAAAAACATTTTAAAATGTGGATTAGCTTTTGTGTGTGGGGAAGGGGGAGGGGTGTTAGGAATCTATATCTATATGTCTCTGAATCATATCCTTCACATTGTTTCGTAAAACTTGAAAGTCGGTTCATTTAATAGGAGGAAAAAATGGTTTGTTTACATTTTGATGGCTCATTCATCACGTGGGTGAATGATATGACGTGCTGTAGTTTATTAGCCTCCCGAACTGACTGGTTATTTGGTGGGCAGAAACAACTGAGAACTAGCCGGCAATCTCCTTTGGTCGAATAATTAGCACCTACCATATCTTTAAAAAACCCATAATTTCTTATAACAACTCTCTAGGCTTATTTGGGCTTTTTCTTTTTTTACTTGAACATATGTTAATTTTATTTGAATAGATTCATTTTTTTTTTACTTTTTAGGTTCCAAGACCAAAATCCACACCCGCTATAATTATTTATTAATTATATATTATTTTTAAAAAAACATTTTTTCCCCATTTCCTTTTCATTCCCGCGTCTATGCTCGCGCAGATAACATACAAGGGTTTCAAACATTTCACGAACGAGAACTCGACCATGGTAACACTAATCGTACCCCCAAAAGCCTTTATTTCCAGGGATTCTCAAGATATTTACAACTTTAATTCAGCCAAGATTACCGACCTGGAACCGTTTACCCATTACGTAGTCGCGGTGAGGATGGTAGCTGGGAATAAGAAAGACAACGTAAATTATACACATCATGATAATATAATTTACCTAAACAATTTTGCCCCCCCCCCTCCCATCGAGATATATGTTTAAAAAAATCATCAAACTTTGGCCGACTGCAGCAGATGGTGTCGTAATTAGCTATTTAAACACTTAATTCGATGGATTTTTTATAAATCTCTTTATATATAATCATCATATCAAATGTATAATTTATTCTCGGATATAATAATATTTAAAGAAAGAATTTGTAATTTATGCCTGATTTTTGCAGGTCTTAGCAAATGTGAACGAGGAAAGGGACAAGGAAGACCTATCCAATGAAGATTGGCGGGAAATTGACAAACCCGCCGCTAAAATATCCGCTATAACTGATACTACTGGTGAATTTTAAAATGATAATTTTTTTTAAATTTCTAATTCAAATCATTTTATTAGATAAAAATTGTTAAAAAAATATATAAATGAAATTTAAGAAAAAGAAAAATTCGATTAATTTTTAATTTACCGATTACAGCCCCTGAGGCTTTCTCTTCTGCTCCTTACCCGTTGCCGACCCAAACTCTTAAAAGCGATTCTTATTTTCATCCCAAATGGGACGGAATAATCGGCCTACATCTGCCTCGCACCTCTTCGCGGTACGGTCTTTTAAGCCATTATCTATTGATAGTCCTGCCCCAAGCCCACGAAAAGGCCGAAAAAATCACGGGTCATTCTATCGTAAGAAGACACTTACACGTAACTGATCACAACGAAAGCGATAACAATATCTACACCCTCGACGAGGTTTAAAATGATAATGTATATAAATTATCTCTTCGAAAAAATAATCAAAAACACTAGTGGCGCAATTTTAAAAACTCTTTTTTAACTAAATGGGAGGAAAGAATAAGAAAAGCCCTTAACCTGGGATTTTTATTTCTCATATAATTTTACCTTGATAATATCCTTAGTCCAATTATAGCTAGCACTGGTAACGCAAAATCACTCCATTTGAGCCACTTTTTTAATAACGGCTAACTCAATATTTTATCTAAAAATGTATTACGCATGCCTAAAATTTTGCTCGTGGGTGCCACTAAAGTTTGGACATTTATGCGAAATCTCGAGACTTAGGCTATATTTTTCTGGATTAGTCGTATTTTTTTTTGAATCGGCTCATATAGAACGATTTTACATCACTAGCTAGCACCCCTGGTAATTTTTCATATTAATTATCTAAAGTTATCTAAATAAAGGTGGAAAAGATCCATCTAAAAAGAAATTAATCCATTCATTTTTAAATCATAGATTATGTGTCATAAGAAATTGAAAGACGGAGATTATGATTCATTTTATTTTACAATATTTTCAGTTATCTTACTCCCCGCATTATAGCGACACGAATTCTCCCTACATTGCTGCTCTCATCCCAGTCGCGAACACTGGGTTAATGAATCATTTCCCTTTGGGTGACGGCAAATTTTATTTCACTTTCCTCAATAGACCCTTAAGCCCTGGGTCGACTTACAAAGTATTTGTCAGGGCATTCACGGGTCATTTCAACGCTGAAGATTTGATCAAGGAAGGAAACAATTCTAGGACCTTCCATTCTAAAGTTATTATTCATTTATATATATTTCTTTAATGGTTCCTCAATGATTTTTTTTTAAAAGACCATTTTTATCTAATAATCTAAATCGTATTCAAATTTAAAAACTTCTCAGAATTATTAAAAATGGGCATCTATTTTATGCTAATCGAAACAATACTTAAATGTTAATATAACCAATCAAATTCATGGTGATAGCCAATGACATGGACATCTATTTTCCAAATTTCGATGCTTGCATAATATTATTTTAGCTAAAATCTTAATCGGACCCTTTTGAAAAATTGTCCCAAATCGGGTTTTTTAACAAAACTACGGGCAAGTGAGAACAAATTACGATTATATCTTCCTTTAAAATAAATCTCGAATTTACCATTCTTCCCTTTTCCGATATATTTCAAGTATCAAAAATTTACCTCGAGCCCCCTAAGCGCGCTTTTTGGCGGTGGTCCGTCTTCACTCGCGGAAGACGATCAAGATAAACTAGTTCCGGGTCAAAATTTGGCCACCGACACTAACGATAATTTTATAATGGGCAAACGTTCAAATCACAACACCAAGCAGCCTTTCGAAACGTACAACGATTTTAGCGGCAAAATAACGTCCCCCAAACCCGCCATTTCCCTCATGGTTATTATATCCTTTTCCGTTCTGTTCGCCGCTTCTGTCATAGGATTGGCCGGCTACCTTTTTTGCGCTTACGGACGAAGGTCGGAGTTAATAATGAAATAAATATATAAATTTATCATTTTGAAGTAGTTTAAAAGATTGGAGTCACCATAAAAAAATGATTGGCACGTCTAAATTTTTACGAGTTAGCAACCATTGCTTTAAGAGGTTGTTGATTTGATATTGATGACACTGCTGTTTGTTACGTTGATAATCGTGACTTGTTTTGTGGAACAGTGTTTTTAAGAAAGTTCAAATATTTTATCCTAATTTAAATTTTAGTGTATTAATTCTGTCGGTAAGTTATTAATTACTATCATCAATACATCGATAAATAAATAATATCAACAACAAAATCAGGAAACGGAAAAACAGTGTAACAAAAATACTCAAAGTCAACGGTGGCGGTAAATGCGAAAGATACGCCCTCAACACGAAGGTCGCTATCTTAGATCATGACCGCGAGGATGGAACTTTAGGTTCTCGCGATAATTTCATGAATCACATCGGATCGGAGTATCAAAATTTGTTGACGAGAGAAGAAATGTAAAAAAAACTCTTTCCTTATTTAAATCTAATAACTGGAATCTATTTATCAATTATTCCAGGATTCAGAATCCAATACCCTCTAGACACCCTTGAGATAATGAAGTTGAGCCCCCCCCCCCCATAATGACTAAAATGAATTGTGACTGTATGCTGACTCAGAGAATCTCCCCTCCTTGAGATTTTGATTATGCAAATTCGTGCCCTCCCCCTTGATATTTCTGCGGCTAAATTATATTTTATATTGTACGCTAACCCTAAGAAATGGCTCCCAAAACCAACTTTTTTTATAATGATGTTCAAAACCGGAAGTTATCTTTTTAGTCCCAAGTTCTAAACTCTGTTAAAACTATTGAGTAGGTTAGCTTAAGAATCACTTGAAAGAAGTGAATATTTTATATCGGATCGGGGCACATTTTTCGTCTTTTTTAAAAATCGGTTATTGGCCGATATGATTAAATTTACCGATTATATCTGATAAAATGGCATCTTAATTTAAATTTTTAAAAAATATTTAAGAAAAATATATTCATGTATAAATTAAGAACAATTTCTATATAATTTGAAGTGATAATTTTTAAAAATAAAAATAATTGAAAATATGTTTTAAAAATAATTAATAAAATACATAAATCTATTTTTAAAAAGAGTGTATGTTATTTTAAAAACTTAATAAATCATTTTAAACAAAAAAAATTCTAACAATTATATTGATGATGATTAAACTTTACAAATTACGCCGTATTTTTTTTTATTCTCCGTCGTTAATTCTCGCTAATTGTGAATTAGGAGTTACCATGCATTCACAGTTAGCACCAATTCGCCGCGAAGTATACAAAATATGCCGTATTTTTTGTATCATCGCCGCGAATTCACGCTATCTATGAGAGTGCAGGGTTCGGATGAGATTATACTTTATATCGATAAAATGCAATCGAATATATTAAGTATTAAATTTTTTAAAATATATTCTTCTTTCTCCATCTAATGGCCGTTTCCAGGTTGTTCATTCCCTCTGATTTAATCATTAGGAAATTTTGCCCTTCCTGACATCATCCCCCTTTAGGTGGTTTTTACATGTCGAGGGGACAGTCATCTTATTCTAGAACGAACCAAACCATAGCCGCCAAAAGACGTTCCCACTCCCCCCCCCCCCACGATGAGGCTGAAGGTAGGATTTTAGGGGGAATTTTTCAAAATATATTAAATACGTAAAAAATGAAAAAAATCAGATTCTTGATATCGGATTGGTAATCGGCCAATATATTTAGATCTTGGAATTTTTTTTTAAATGAGGTTTTGGTTCCGTTTCCGGTTACAATTCCTGCTTTAATTTTTAAAAAATTTTAAAAGTAACAACGATCGCGAAACGACCACTGTCATAGCCAACAAGGTTGCCCACTTGAATTCCCACCCTCCTATTCGTTTGTCGCAATTGGCCAAGTATTTTAGCGAGCTGAAGGCCGACGATAACGCTTTACTAAATATGGAATACCAGGTTTTATTATCCAACCTATCAGTTTTTTTAGGCAACTATGAACTGTTATTTTCCTCATTTAAATATTTATTGAAGCCCTTTTGATGCCTTATAAGGCGACCATTTTGAAAATATTAAAGTGGGAAGGGAGGGAGGGGGGTACTTCGTTCCACTTGATGCTGAACCAAAAATTAATCACCTTATTCCGTTAGTTGAAAAAACAAAAAAAAATTTGAACTACATTTCTTAATTGTAATCCCGCGAATTTTTTCTTTCAATCGATTAACCCGAGCCGATTCCCAGACTTTTTAAACCACAAGGCTAAGCCCGATAAGTTAACCTTCCAGACTTTTGAGTCCCCATTTTATTCGCCACTGAAAACTTAGCTAACTTATTTGTAAAAAAAACGTCTTTTAGCGGAGCAATTTATCTACTAATTACCAGAGTTGTTAAAGGATCTAGATCCTGTATCTAGATATAAATATGTGGTATCTGTATCTAGATAGATTTTTGATTAAAATATCTGTATCTAGATATTATTTTAAACGATGTATCTGTATCTAGATCCATTTAAAAGGTATCTTTTAGCAACTCTGCTAATTACCTTTCGGAAGGAAAGAAGGTGATAGATAGATAGATAGATGAGTTAAAATATTATTTTTTTAAATTAGGCTATAGACCCTGGTCAGCTATTCACTTGGGAACATAGCAATCTTCCGATCAATAAGCTTAAAAATAGGTACGCTAATGTCGTGGCCTACGATCATACTAGGGTCGTTTTACGGGCCAACCGCGATTCGTTTCGCCAGCAGAGAGAATTTTACGTTTCGGGGAAGAGTAACGATTACATCAACGCTAATTATATCGACGGTTACGATAAGCCGACGGCTTATATAGCTACCCAAGGTTTTTTAATATTTTTTTAAACTCCCTTAAAATTATGGAATTTATTTTAAAACAAATTTACGCGGGAATTAATGGCATACTAGATTATTGAATATTCTTAGCCGATATTCTTAATCTAAACTGCTAATCCGATTATATAAATATTTTATTATTAATTTATTTCAAGAAATATTGTATATAATTATAAAATCAATAAAAATTAAAAAAATTTTAATATATCTATTTCACGAGATATTGTATAATATTTAAAAAATATTTAATTTGATAGTTTTTTTTTCTCTACGGTATATTTTTTTTTCCATATAACTTAATTTAAACAATAAAAACGTAAAAATTATCGAGCATAATATTTAACGGTTTATCCGCTGCCGATTAAATAAAGCGATAAATCAAAGAACCGGTCAATTGGCCGGATCGCTATACCCTGTACTCATTAAATAAGGCAACGAAAATTTATTTTTATTGCTCTCAGGTCCATTACCGGAAACGGTAACCGATTTTTGGCGCATGGTTTGGCAACAAAATTCTTGCACTATCGTTATGTTAACTAAGCTGGAGGAGCGAACGCGGATCAAATGCGATAAATATTGGCCTGACAAGGGTATCCTGGATATTTACGGGAACGGGAAAGATAAGGACATCAACGAAACCTTAGAAAATTATCGTCTGCTGATGGGGAAGGGTTCCCCGGAGGAAGAGGAGCTATTGCAGAATTGCGTGGTGGATTGCGTCGAACTAGCTACGTACACCATTCGAACATTTTGCCTACAAAATGTAACATAAGTTTTTATTCGTTTTTTATATTTAAAAAAAATCAACCATTATATTATTATTGTTGATATGAAGCTTGTATTTTATTTTTCAAAAAAATAATAAACTCACCATATACTTAAATATGGGGGAGACCCCTTGTAACTAGCATTATCTAGCAAGTTTGAAAAGCTAAACGGTTAAGGCTGTTTTACAATTTTACCATATATTTGCTCCTCGAAACCACGGATTGATATTTATATCATTCACAAATCTGTTTAAATTATTTATTCCTTCAACTGGTATTTTGCGAATTTTTTTCTTCTTGTTATAATTTCACCAATCGCATTTTTCAAGATCGAAATTTTATCTCTTATAAATCACAACCATTTATTTTTTTTAAAGTAGAGCTTTAAATCAGGGGCATTTCTAAGGCATATCTTAAGTAGAGCATTGCCTAAACCCAACACAAAAAAAGTGGCAGCAAATCGATCTGTATATAAAAAGGGGAAACCAGAAAGGGCATGAAACATGTTCTAAGTCTAAAGACGCCATTTTTGTATATTTCAACAAATCTAAACTCTTGTCTAAGGGCGGTAAATATTTTTATTTATATGGCACTGATCTAAATTATTAACACCTGATGAGCTCTACTTTAAATTACTTATAAATAAAAATGAGTATCACTTACACGCTGCAACATCGAGACCCTTTACGCCTTTGAGATGCTCGTTCATATTTTTTCCGCGCGAATAAATTAATGACTGTAATTTTTTTTAAATAAAGCAAAAAGAAAATAAAATTTATGATAATTTATTATATTTTTTGTTTATTTCGAAAGCTGGTTACGAAAGAAAAACGTGAGATTAAGCAATTTCAATACACGGCTTGGCCCGACCACGGGGTGCCTTCGGACCCCACGCCTTTCCTCAATTTCGTTAAACGCGTACGAGTTTCGAACCTTGCCCAAACCAGCCCCGTGATAGTTCATTGCAGGTTTTTTTTTAAAAAATGAAGATTTGTCAGACAAAATAACAAATGAGGTATCGTTAGATCCACCCGGCTAAAATAAACATATTTTTAATTTTTTTTTTCTTCCGATTTTTTTAGAGTATTTAACTATCTTCCTGACAATTCACTGAATTTGGCAGGTCATTTGACCGACTTGCCAACCCTGCTTTAAACTATAATATGTTAAGCGCATTCATAAGAAAACTAACTGGACCGGATCAGGTCGCTCTTAATACTACCGGACCGATTTGGCAGACAAGCGACCCAGCCGATATGCGTTGACCATGGCTAATACATTTTCGTCATATTTTTGTTTTCTCAGTGCCGGCGTTGGGCGAACCGGTACTTATATAACTGTAGATTCCATGCTAGACAAATTACTATCCTCATCGTCTTCTCGCGAAGACCACCCCACGATCGATATTTACGGCCACGTTAATCTAATGCGGTGCCAGCGCAACTTCATGGTTCAAACGGCTGATCAATACGCCTTCATTTACGCATGCGTGCTGGGTTTTTTTTTACTATAAAAATGTCTAATAACCTATGAGGATTATTCAAAAAAAAAATCAGTTTTTTTTTTAAACGTTTCATTTTTCATTTCGATAAAATATTAGAGGCTTACGAAAGTGGAAATACCGATTTCCTCGCTATAGACCTGCATTCTCACATACAGAGGTTAAATCACGGAAGTTCCACGTCCGAAAATAACGGAACGCTCTCAATGACAGGGTTCGAGAGGGAATTTAAGGTATGTCGTATAACTATTTGTTTAATTTCTTCTTAAAGATTGGTTCTCTCCTCAAAGAAAGAAAGAAAGCTTTTTTTTCTATTTATTTAATAAAAGGGAAAGGTTATCTGAATAAATGATTTGTGATGATGGAAAAATTTTAAGTTAATATTACAGAACAGGTGTATTTTAATTACATGGATGATGTTTTAATCACGGGAATAACGGTAGAGCAACATAATCAAAGGTTGGAAAAAGTTTTTAAAAGAATTCAAGTTAAAGGATTAAGAGCGAGTAGTGAAAAACAGTCTTATGGGTGCTTACAGAAATTGTATATTTGGGGCATAAAATAAATGAAATGGAAGTGAAACCGTTGGATAAGAATTTGGTAAATATTGCAAACAAGCGAAAGCCGACAAATAAAGCTGAGATACAATCGTTTATGGGAATGGTAAATTATTATCATCGATTTATAGAGGATTTAGAAAGAAGGTATTTGGTGGTTGAACAAGAAGCTTTAACAGTCATTTTTGGATTGACGAAATGCAGAGAATATTGGATTGGTAGATTTTTTTTCATTGTTATAAATTGTGACTCTGAATAATTATTTTAATTTTTCTTCAAAATATATTTTAATTTAAGAAATTATCGAATCAAAGGCCAACGACTGGCAAATTCGTTAGCGCAAATTACCCTATTAACAAGCACAAGAACCGGCTAGTTAATATACTGCCGTACGAACACAACAGGGTTTGCCTGTGTCCCGTCAGGGGAGGTCAGCCTGGCACCGATTATATCAACGCTTCCTTCGTAGACGTAATTACCTATAAATTAATTCACTGTGAAGAGCCAAACTTTCATTGAGTGTAAAGGGATTGTCGGTGTTCCGTTTTTTTTCAATTTAAATTAGGGTTGTGAATTTGGGTTTGGCTGGGCATTTTGAGACCTACCAAGCAGAAGACCGATTTATGGGCAACTCATCGAACCCGGGGTTATATGAACTCGGGTTTATACTTTTTTTTTTAGAAAATCGGGGTCTAGCTTCTATTTTTTATTTCTTTTTTAAAATAAAATGATTTTATTTATTCCCGAAGTCTTAGAATATTTTGATTCTTTCTAATCCGCGTTGTCGTGGATTAATGCTTTCGCGTTTTTTTAAAGGCATCAAAAGTTATTTAATTCCTTTAAACTGGTTTTGATTTAGAATATAATTTGTTAAATAAATAACTGATTATTTCGCCGGGGCCAACTTAACAAAACGCACCAACACAATCTTATTCCCAAATTTACCGTTATCACATTTTGCGTTTTAAACAGGGTTACAAAGAAAAGAACGCTTATATCACGACTCAAGGTCCTTTGAAAGAAACGACCGACGATTTTTGGCGCATGATTTGGGAACACAATTCTAGCATCATCGTCATGTTAACCCGACTCAAAGAAAATGGACGGGTAAATATCTTTATTTATCCCTTTCATTATTTGCAAATTTATTTAAGATCAAAAATCTTAGAAGAAAAAACGCTCCGCAACTAAATGTCGAAAAATAGCTATACCTACTCCGAAATTATGAAATATTCACTGAACATGCAGATTTTTTTTATTTAGCCAAAATCTTTTCGCCATTTTAAAAAAAAAAAATAAGATCGGTTATATTGAAGTCTTTTAAATATGAATTGAATGTAAACTATTAGGAAAAATGTAACCTGTACTGGCCAGTAGATGGGCCATCCATCCACGGTCCTTACACCGTCGAACCCGTAGCTGAATACGCCATGCCGGGTTATTGTCTTCGGGAATTTAAAATGTCGGTCATTTCACAGCACGCTATCAATCAACCTCTTTCGGAAGGCAATCAACCAAAAATTTCTAGCATTTTGCCACCCTTTCCGTCCGCCACTACTCGCACCATACGACAGTTCCATTTCGAGCAACACGATCCCCGAGCAAATGATGGAGAAGATACTATGGCCGAGGTATTTTATAGATTATGAAAATATTGATTAGTCATAAATCTATTCTTAAAGCAGTGGTCATCTTTGATTGAATATTGACTGAAATATGAACTTATTTAAATAAATAATAAACACGACCGTAAATGCTAAATAATAATTTTAAAGATAAAGTATTCCACACTTCCTAGAGGAGACTTGTTGGAACAAGATGAAAATACGAGCCATTACAATTTCGCTTGTTTGAGTCCCAAACTCGTGGGAGCGGAACCTCCCATGGAAGAATGTTTTGTCGATTTCGTGGGCCAAGTTCACAAAACGAAGGACCAGTTCGGGCTAGACGGTCCTATCACTGTTCATTGTAGCGGAGGAGCTGGTAATTTTTTTTTAAATTTCTTTATATAGAGATTTAAACATTCTATATTATTATCGATATGAGCAAAGCTCTCGTTAATAAAATAAATGCGACAATATTTTTTTTTGTCAGGAATGACGGGGGTTTTTTTAGCCGTATCCATAGCAGTTCATCGCATGAAATACGAAAGCAAAGTCGATATCTATCAAACCGTCAAATGGCTGAGGGCTCAACGACCGTGCATGGTTCAAACCTTGGTACTTGTGATTTAAATCTTATTTTATTATAGGCTTGGTCCTACGCTACTCCTTTAATGCTGCGTTTGAGAATTTTATCTCCTAACTTTTAACAGTTGAAAGAATTACTAAGCGCAGCATTTAGGAGAAGTGATCCCGGGACGACTTCTTAAAGCCTCGAAATTATACGAGGCTTATTTAACGTACATAAACCTATATTTTTCTATTTATTAGAATCAATACAAGTTCTGCTACAGAGCCGCCTTGCAATATTTGAGATCCTTCGATATGTATGCCCCTTAGAGCTGTTTTTAGGATCGTTTTATATATAAAAAACACTCGCGAATCAAAGTGTTGCGAAATTTATTATTTTTTGTATATTTGTATTTTATTATATACATCTATCGTTAAACCACACAAATTTATTCGTCGAAGATGACATTTATCTGATTTTTAAGTAGATCAATATAAAATAAGATTAAAAAAAGGTTTTATCATAATTATAACATATAACTTAACTTGATTTATAATTATACAATTATTATTATTTTATATTTGTTTTATTATGCTAAGATAAACTATTTTTTCGCGAAAAATTATAATATCAATGTTCTATTTATGTAATATAAAATCATGATCCACAAAAAAAAAGAAAATCAATCAATTATGTATTTATTATTCGATAATATAATTTAGTTAATAATAACACTATACAAATAAATATATTTATATAAAAAAAGAAGAAGTTTTTAATTTTTCATACCTCGGGGTCAAGCGCGTATCCAATGCAAATTTTATTATTCTCGTAAATATCCTTGTAAGCTAATAAACAATGTAACCCTACATTCCCCCCCTTCCCACTTTCATCTATCCAAAAAAATATATAATATAATCACTATAAAGAATGATTTATTAGTAAAAGTTAATAACTTTTTTTTTAAAATAACGACTATAATTGAAAATTTTTAATAAAAAAATAGTAAGCTGAAAACTAGCCAAAGCCTATAATAATTAAACCCAATGAATGACTTCCAATAAAATTTATGGCGAAAAAGTGGGCTAATAGTGTCCCCCTATAATAAAATCCTGAATACGACTATGCTTGAGGTAAGAAAAAATAGTTTAATTGCCATTTTTTCTTTATATAAAATAAATAAATAGAAGTATCAAAACCTACCTCCGTTAGTTCTCACAAATTGAACATTTTAAAACGCAAATAAAAAAAACGTAAACGCAACTGTTTTAAATTTAAAGCGTTAATTTTATTTTTTCAATATGAAACGTCTATATTCTAAACAAAAAAATGGCTCGCCCTATATTTAATTAGCAAATCTTTTTGTAATATCATAATTCCATTAGTTAAAAATATTATTGCATCATTTAAATTAATTATTTTACTTTTTAGAAGATGTTGTATCCATGCTATCACTTCAAAATTTAATAACGTTTCAAAAAAATAAAGCAAGATATTTTGTTTTTAAATAAAATTTAAAATGCAAAACGGATATGTTTCAAATTTAAACGAATGCATGATTTATTTTGAAACGCTCTATAATTGATATTTTTTCAAATCATTTTTTTTTAAATTGTGAAATCATTTTTTTATCAAAACCTCCTAAATGGAATGAAAAAAAACATTAGTATAAAGCTAAAATTCATCAAAAACTATAATATTTTATTATTATAATAACAGTTAAAATAGTCTGAAAAATTTCAAAAATGTTAGTTATGAGGTCTTGCAGTGGTGACAACGATATATATTTTTCTATAGATAATATATTTCTCTTATAGTTAACCCCTAAGGTCACCCTTTCCCCTATATGACCTCAAGGAGAACTAAGTTCAAATAGTTAAATCAGTTTAAATAAAGCTTGTAGTGGTAATGCCCCCGACATAATAAGACCCATTATCTCTTAGAGCAACTGCTAAATTAGAATCTAGGAAAAAAATCCCCGTTTTTAAGATATTAAAAATTACAAAATTAATAAAATAGAATAAAAACTCCCTATAAATATAATAGATATAAAAATCCTCAAATAAAATATTTAAAAAATTTATGAAAATCAATTTCCGGGGAATTATTTACTAATTATTTTTCCGGGGAATTATTTTCCGCTTACCGTCGTGACTATGCCTACAGTCTTAGCTGTATGCTTCGGTAATATCGTGTACCTGGTACCGGTAACTACTTGCATCAACGTGTTAATGCTCACCGTGATATTGTACGCATCATTTAATGCTTTATTTAACTTATGATCAAGTTGATAGATTCCTATTGTTATACGGCTCGTTTTGAGTCGATTTTTAAAAACGGCTAACTCAATATTTCATCCAGAAAAATACTAAGCAAGCCTGAAGATTTTGCTCATAGAGGGTACAAAGGTGTAGACAGATACTAACGAAATCTCGAGGCTTAGGCAAAATTTTTCTGGCTAAAATATCGAGTTAGCTGTTTTAAAAAATCGGCTCAAAACGAGCCGTTTAAAAACACTACCTATAACTATTTTTACGTCACGCCGCCTCCTAATATTATTCCTAAACATTAATAATAATAAAAAATGCTTATAAATTGTAAACTAAACTAAGTACCCTAAAATCTTTCCTTCTTAATTATACAAATTAAACTATTTTAGGATTTAAATATTTTGTTATATCATTAGGTAGGTAAGGTGCTCCTCTTCTGTAACAAATCTATGTGGCTATAAAAAAAATGAAAAATAGTTAAATATACTTATTTATCTTCCTTGATTCGGCTTATAATACTGGATTATTAATATTTATATGTAAGCATTTCAAATAAATTAATCTTTTCTCCATTTATATAAGTTAAGTTCTTCGTAAAAAATTATATAAAATTAAATTTTAAACTTAAAGTGTCCTTAATCTAATAAGTAATTATAATTTTATAAAATAAGATACTCCCATTTAGCAAAAGATACAAAAATATCTTTTTGATATTCTAATATCCTTATTCCCAAAAAATCTGCATCTAGATTCTCTTTTTCTTCTCAACTGTAACCATATCCATAGTATGACTATTAATTTCTCAGTTTATAATTAATCGAACAATGGTCATTTAATCTGTATAGATTTATTTTTTATTATTCTTTTTATTAGAAAATAATATATATACATGTATGAAGACAATTTTTTTTTAGAAAATAATATATCAAAAAAAATATATTTATTTGATTTATTTATAAATATATTTAAATTTTTTTAAAATATCATTATATTTATTATAATTTATAATTAGGGATGGGTGTTGTTGATAGGCTTAACATTTTAAATAATTTGTCAAACCCAATTTTAACTTTCTGTCACACATATAAAATATGTAAAAGTGACTAAAAAAAAATAATATAACATGAAATAATCTTTTGATTTTTTTAGATTCTTTTGCTTTTTTTATCATAATATTAATATAAAAAAATAGTTATTATAATTAAATTATCCATGATTTCATTTTTTTTAAGAAACCAAACCTATATTTTATTTCATAGCTATAACACAAATAAGATTAAGGAACAGATACATACAATTATATAGTTGGTTACAATATGAAAAAGTTGAAAATTATAATATATAACATCCCTGAAAAAATAAAAACATTACATTTTCTTCTTAAAAATAGAGCAGGATTCTATTATCATCAGGCAATTTTAATATTTAATTTTTTTTTCAAAAAAATGACTGTTGATAAATGGGGTTACCATGAATGAAATAATATATTTCGATGATTCTAATACTTTGTTATATTATAATAAAACTAACAAAATAATGTATAAATTGTGGTAAAATGTTTATTAAATATAAATCTAAAAATAATATAATTTTTTCTATATCTAAAAAAAATATATATATAATTAACTAGCCTAGCTAAATATTTTATTAAAACATGTTTTTTTATAATTGCTTATTTAAATAAAATATGACTAAAAAAGAGTTAATGGAGCTAATTTTATAAATCACTATTATTTTTGAGAGAAATAACTTTTGATAAAAAAATATATTCTTTCTCCCAAGTAAAAATTAGATCACAATATAATATATTATCATAATTTATCTATATTATTTAATTTGTAAGTTTTGCTATTTATGGTATTTTAAAAATAAAAAAATTATCTAATATATTAAATTAAAATTATATTTTTGTGTGCTTTATTTGTAAGATTTTAAGGTGTGTTGGCATTGTGATGATTTGTTAAATTTTGGGTCATTGTCTGAACGTTATTTCTGGGAATCAAAAATAAATTACCGTCCATTGAAAATTGAAGCATGTAATCCTAAATAAATTAGTATGTAAATGTAATATATATAAGAATAAATACAATCTAAACCAGTGGCACAACTAATGTAGCGAAAAGGTTATAATGATAATCTTTTCTATTTAAGGCATAGGGGGTATCCAATGGGGAACATCCTCAAAAATTGGCTTGTTTTCGTATATATTATTTAGCTACTAAACGTTATGCCCACTAGGCTCCCTCTATCCACTAGGTTTTAAAAAATTTTAATTAAAATAAAAAGGAATGATTTGATCATTATTGATTGGATCTCCTCATTATGATAATATAAATATGATCATTCATAGTTAACAATCGTTAATATTGTTTTTTAAAAAAATTCAATTGAATTTGACTAGTCAACTATTAGTCAATTGGCCGAATCTTAATTGATAGACATAAAAAAAAATAGAATTCAAGGATAAAACAAAAAATTTTTTAAATTGGCATTTTCAAAAAAAAAAGATCCAAATGGCTTACATTTTCCGAATAAGGTTGCCCGTTGTCGTCTCTAAGCGAAGATAATATTTGTGAATACAATTCGTTGTACTTCTCTTTATAGTGTTGAATATCTTTCTCCACCTCAACCCTTTCATGCATCATGCTAGCTTTAGAATTTACAAGATGACCCACACCTTTTTCCAAATTCATTATTCCTGTGTTATTTATTATGTTAGTATAAAACATATTTTGACTAAGTTTTAATAGGAATGATAAAGCGTCAAAAGTTTAAAAATAATACTTTATCAAGGTAATCTGCTATAAACTAGTGGTTTGTAAGACCCTTAATATTTTATAAAAAATTATTCGGGTCAACTCTGTTCCCCCGGTTTTTGACTGATTGGTTTCATGTTTACCACTGAAATAAGTATATATTGCAAAGATGAAAAATAGGAGACCTAACAACTATATTTCCATAAATTTTATAAATTAAACCAATAAATAGATGTAACGGTGAAAATGCTATGATAAATTTAAAAAACATGTGGCCACATATATTCTAAAAATTATTTTCGCTGCGAAGAATCAGCTGTGATTTCGATAGCGTTAAATACCTTCACACCGTGTTTAATATAAATGAGACGTTAATATAATATCCACTCCATACCCTTATTATTCAAGATAAACGAGAAAAACAAATCGCATTCTATGTACTATATATTATATCATTATTACTCCCTTGTATAGTAAATTTTCCATCTGTAATTTATCTTATTTAAGTCACCTTACCTTAACTATTTTATTTTTTAAAGTTATCAGCTATGAGATAAGAAATATTAAGATTAACGAACCATCAATCTTGCGTTTCCGGCAGTTCTGAGCCGCCACCTTATTCTTGCCGCGTCTCCTGATATCCCTAATCAAGCTTATCTGAGGGTCCGTCAGGTTATGTTTCCTAAGCATATCCGTGAACTCGTCGATGGGCGAATATATTATTTCGTCTATGCTGAAAGGAATCTTCAAAGCTTCAGCCCTCCTCTGGTCCCTGGACCTCGCCGTTATACTCCCGCCATAGGCAATGAACGATTTATTAAGGACTGGTGAATTAGTGCCGTGGCAGAGGGAGGAGTTTGAAGAAGAAAAGTTAGAACTTTTCCTTTCATAATCGGATTTTTTACCCAAATATTGCTCTAGGTTGTCATTATTATTGGCATCAGATGATTGATTGAGATTATAAGATCGATGATGATGCACTAGGGAATTAGCGTTATGTACATCTGTATGATGATTCTCGGTTAGAGGTTTACCAGGACTTTTGTTACGGGTATTATTCACCTTGCTAGCATTCGCTAAGTTGTAAGAAGAATAAAATTGGTTCATGACGTAAGACGCGTCGCTTTGATCGTTCGTTTGGAGAAGAGAGGGATAGGTATAACCACTTGATATGTCTTGCCTTAATAAAGATCTGATTATCTTGTTCTCGTTATTGTTACAAATATCGGCAGAATTTCTGTGAGAAACGTTAAGGACCTGAGAAAGAGAACGAGAATTTAAAATGGGAGGAGAGGGCGACCGCCTAAACTTTTGCCGCATTTTATTGGCGAAGGAGATAGGAGATGACATGGTGGGAAATGGGGCGGTGTTATTGTAACACATGTTATTCACGTTTTCGATATTAAAATTGGGGTGATTCATGCGCATGTTATGTATATTTTGAGTGAGCGGATTAGTCCCAGCCATCAACAGATCATTAAGCAATGGAATAGGCACGGCGTTATGGGGATGATGGCCGCGCAACATAACCTGGCGGCCTAGGTGTGGCCAATAAGGACCATTCAATGCGTGCATTGCGTTGTTATTAACGTTGTTTACACCCGCTGCTATGCTATTCTCCATGTTTTCGTATTGTTGTAGGACGCTGAGATTTGCGTTAAGATGATTCGGGTTATCATTGGAATCTATGAAATGACTGAAGTTATTATGAGGGATAACATGGTTACTTTCGTTTTGATTATCCCTTGAACCGTTATTATCCACGGGTGGTGAGGCTTTGATGTTAATATTGGGATCAATATTTGAATAATTCCAATTGGGACCTTCGTTAGGGTTTAAGACCTCGAGAGCGTGGTTAATAATAGATTGCTGGGTTTGCATGTTTTGTAGATAATGCTGGATGTTGTCAAAGGAATCCACCCTGCAATTTAAGGTCGCTTCCTGAATGTGTCATGAAAAAATCATCAAAATGGGCAAATTATATATAAGTAATTTCCAATCATATCGGAAATTTTTATTTGACCCTTTTTTATATCCAAAGATGATATTACTTATACATCGTGGCTTTCAGAAGAAGTTTAAAAAATATAATCAGTCTTGGGGATAGGATAATGTCAATTCCTAAGAGCAAAGACTGAATAATGTTATGAAGTAAATATTGTATACATTTTAACATTTGAGAATTATTTATTATTTTTTTAAATTGTAAAAAAATGGTGAAGGAGGAATTAATTTATATTTGAATCATCAAAATTATCAAACCATGGTACTAATTTTTATATCATAGTATTCATTTTAAGGTACCCATTTTATAATGAGTATTTTGTATATTTACAAAGAAGGCCGCTAAAATTTTTAAAGTGGTAAAAAAATTGAGATTCAACTCAAATAAATATGGCCGCCAATAAATTTGAAGAGACATTTTAGTGGCCAATATATTAAAAATGATTTAATGAGTTTTCAATTTATTTTCATGGATATTTAATATATCTATAAACATGGCCGCCAATATATTTAAAGTGTTAAAATAACGCTACATATCTATTATGGGAGGACTCTCATCACAGTAAACCTGGACCAAAAAATTGAATATTCAAAAATAAATCATTTAAAAACAAAACAAAACAAAACAAAAATTATTAAATATTTACAGATAATAATGGATTCTCCGATTTGATTAATTTAATATTGGTTCCATTTTCTCGCTCTGAATTATTTTCGATGTTATTTGTCATCATAGTACACATTTCGTCGCATCTCAAAGATTGGGGCATGGAGAATAAGTTAGAGAATGAACTCTCATTGCTGGATGAACTTGAAGTAATTGATTTTGGAAAATCTATTATTTTCGAAAAAGATGAACTTGATGCTAGGATAAATTGATCGGGATGCATTAAATCCGAAATCATCATATTATACGGGGATGAGTAGACTGGGGTTGAAGACCTTAATGGTTGATCTTGTAGCTTTTTAAGATCGTCATATGTATTTTTCGAAGCTTCAATACTTTTACCCTGATTTATACGTGGGGAGAAAGGTCCATTCGACTGAGGATAATCGTTGTTGGATATCTCATCCGTGGTAAGTGCATTGATAATGAGGGAGTCATTTTGCAATTTATGGGTCATGCTTATCATTTTTTCACTGATGGCCGCTTCGTCATATATAGAGGTAGTCAGGGTTTGAGGCGAATAATGATCTAGTAACTCATTTTCACTTTTGACAATTTTTTCTTGTTGGGATAAATCGAATGCATGGTTTAAGACTTTCATATTTTCATTATCCTCGTCGTGCTGGTTGAGTGTAGTGATAATTTGATTTACGGCATGTGATTGATTGACTGGAATCTATTTTTAATAAAAATATAAAAAAATGTGCAACTTGCAGAAATTAAACAAACCTCCAAAGGAAATACTTCGGGCTTTTGTTCAGGTACATTATTTTGCGAATTATCGTATCGTCTGCTATCCTAAATTTCAAGAAAAATTAAATTATTATTATTTTGGAAAAATAATATAAAAGTTACATGATCCCTTGCACTATTGCTCTTGGAAATTATATCATCAAAATTAAATAGATTTGACGATATCAATAAATTATTCAGATCGGACTTAGTAATACTAGTACTTACGGCAGCATAATTTCTTTCCTCGAAATCGATGTTGTTCAAATATTCCAAGCTGCCCGTAAAGTCTCTCACCATTTCCTTCCCACTTTCAAATTCTGCATTGAACGATAAATCCGTACTTCCGTTAGTTAATATATCGCTTTCATAATTCCCCGATTCGTTGATTCGGTTTTCGTTACGATCAAGCTTATTATACCCATTTTTCTGTGCAAGATAATTTCCGTTATCTATATCGAATTTATAACTAGCAGAACGAGAGCGGCCATTTTTTTCGATGTATTCTTCCGCGTTAGATGGATGCATTTTTTTGACAGGACTATAAAGTGTGGCGGAAGAAGAGTAACCACCATCAGAAGATGATGAGCCATCCCTTTGCTTTGAGCGGACAATTTTTTCTGTTGGAATTGATATAGGCGTAATTATGGATTTGTTCCTCGTTTGGGTGGAAAAATCTATGATCGTTCCTAACTGTTGAGAATTTTGATGGAGAATTGTGTCGTTCAGGATTTCTTCAAGGATATCCATAAAAATCTTATAACGTAAAAAAAATTAGGAAAAATAATTTTATTGCGATTTAATTTTTATAAAAATGATGCGAAAAGTGTATATTAGCATAACCCTGCATTCACAGTTAACGCAAAATCGGGGCAGAGTATATAAAAATACCGCGTTTTTGTATAATTCGCCACGCAATCGCGTTAACTATGAATGCAGGGTAATAAGGATATATTGCTCATTAAAGATCTGCAAATCTTATTTTTTAAGGAGAGATTCAGGTGGGGCCTAACACTTTTTTCAAAGGCCGGGCTAGGCTTAAATTTTTTGAAGTTCAATTTTGTGAAAATTTATTCGGGCAGGGCTTTTCGAGATAAATATATAAAAAAATTAGTTAAAGGTCGGGTCGAAAAAATTAGGCCCAATGCAAATCACTCTTGCCCTCTGTTCAACAAATTTTTTGTTTTCCTTCTTAGTATCGAAGAAAAGATGTGAGAGATTATAATTTCTAATTTCTCTTTAATACAGGTTTTTAGTTTTGCTTGCATCATCCATGCCAACTAATCCCTTCCCTTCTTAGAAAAATTATATTATAAATATATATATATATATATACTTATTGTTTATGTGGAAAGAAATTAGAGATGAGTAACATCCATGCTAAATATATTAATGTTCACCTCCCAGGAAATTTTTGCCAATGTTTTCTAAAGATAAAACCTCAATAAGAGCGAATTTAGGTTATAATTTTTTATTATAATCATTTCATGTCCGAGTCGTGTAAGGAAAATGATTCTCCTCTTACCCGTAGGGTCGGTTGAGTCGAAAAATGTCTCTTGCAAGCTCTCTAGTTTAAACTATATAACTAAACTAAATGTATAAAATCTAAGCGTTTTATACCTTGAAATATTCATTAAAATTGGAGATTGCACCGAAAAAAACTTTTTTGATGAAAATAATGATACATTGATGTTATCGGCCTATACATTTCATATTTTGAACCGATACTTATAACAATTCAGATTTAGGGTTGAATCCCCATATGACCGAATATTTTTTTAAAAAAAGATGTCGTTCTTATTTCTATAAAAAAATGAAAGGAGTACTGATTTTAGTTAACGCGGTTCCGGGTTCTGGTTCCTTAGGTCTTGTTTATAATAAAACGCGATTTGCTTAATTCGTAGCGGCGTAATTTACAAAAGCAAGTAAATAATAATTAATAATGATTGGAGCGATGTGATGAAACAGTTGCATCACAATGACGAAATTTGAAAATCATATGTTGCGATGCGACATAAGCTCTGGTTAGAGATGAGTGTGAAGTGGGGGGGGGGAGGGTTCTGGTCTACGAGCTTTCCCCATTTCCAGGTTACTGTTTCAAACTCGGAAATTATCCAAGTTTGTATTATTTTCTATTTCACGATTTCAGAATTGAGCAGGAATAATAATATAAATCAAAATAATATTAATAAAAATACTATTTATTATGATAATACGAGAAAGTAAAAGAATTAAGATAAAATTATACGTCTTTCCTTTCTTTCTTTCCTTCTTTTATATAAGCTCTAAAATTTTAATTGAAGTGGAATTAATTTTATTTTACTAGAGGCAGTAAATTATTTTTTTTTATAATTAGGGATATTTTATTATTAAATGGATGTTTACAAAAATTTTTTATTTAAATGGGCCCTTTAAGATTCTAAAAATTAATAAGTTTAAAAAAAAATGCACTTGCCAAGATACATAAACTTTTCTGTTTTTTCCTCTTTTGAAAATATTTAATTTCGCCAAATGATGATTTGCCAATGTCAACCTTATGGAAGAAATATAAATTCTTAAGGAATTTAAACTAAGTTATCATTTTATTAAGTTAAATCTATATCTATTATAGGTACAAATGAATGATGGCAGTGTTGAACGGTTATTGATTCGTATCTTTTTTATTATAATATTGAATCGTCGTAATTTTATCGTTACGCACAACGAGTAACGTCTCTGCCATAGTCGGGGAACGCGTATAACAATAAACGGATAGTTATGGGTTTGAATTCGAGCAGGTTTTCTTTTGAAATCCGTTAGGTGACAGCGTGGTTGCAATATTAAAATAAAAGTGAGTCAAATTTAGTCGTTGTTTACTAAATTTTTTCATTTGGAAAATTGCTATATGACGACCAAAGCTATATAACATTACCCATTTATTATAGTTGAGTAGCTCACTAAAAAAAGAGCTAGCTTCAGCCAGGAATTTTTTTTACATCAGCTCCGGTTTTAAAAAAATAGATATAGCTCAACTTAAAATAAATTTAATTGGAGCCTCAAAGTAGCGGATCATGCCTATCTTTCTTTAGCCATTGCCAAAAACTCTAAATATTACTTAGACCTCAAGATTTCAGCAAAAGACGGTAGAAGTGTTTGGTCCTATTCTATCAATTTCTTTGACGCAAATCTTGATTTAGTGGTCTTTTAAAAAATCGGTGAAATCGAGATTTTTAAACAACACTATACCCAAACTTATAAATATTTATTGCATATAAGGGAAAAAATTAAAGTGCAGCAAAGCTTCTGATAAATCTCAGAAGTAAATAAAATATATTTTTTTTAGCAGGGATTTCATTTTTTTAGGTTTAATTAAGAATATTTAAGAAATTGCAGTTAGTTAACAATTTTCGAAAAATATAATCAAATTGAGGCGACAAATATTTTAGAAATAATCGATAAGTAAACCCGAATTAGGCCTTTGGGGATCCAGTAGAAATAAGGCATGCGACTTTGGCCAATAGATGATATGAATTTTTTGGATGCAACGTAGATAAACAATTTCTTTTTAAAGCAATGATATAAAAAAAATGGAAACTAAATGTCTTGACTCTTGATGAATAAAAAAAAACTCAATTGGGCACGCCTTTGGATATATAAATTACGCTGTCGCCGATATAAAAGATGGTGTAAAATTCGGCAGACCACCGATCGATGATATCTTTAATGCGAAACGCCGTTGTTGATCATAAATAAGCAACCGGTCATACCTGAAGAAAATATATAACGAACTTAAATTGAGAGAGAAACCGCCTTTACGTTCCTCAGTTACGCCACTACTTTAGGTCTATTTAGGAACTATTATAAGAGGGTTTATGCTGTATTTAAAGTTAATTTTTTTTCACGCAGCACCAATACCATTTCAAGATGTTAATGTTAAACGACTGGATTAAGATCTTAGCCAAGATAATATTATGCAAGCCTCGAGATTTGGCAAATAGAGGTCCAAACCTTTCTACCACCTATGAGTAAATTTACCAGTTTATAAAATATTTTGATTAAAATCTTAAGGAGATCATATAAATAGTAGTATAAAATGTGGTATAAATTATAATTTTCGATATTTTAGATATTGAATTAGTTTATTTCGTTTAAAATAGACACGGAATTAAAAGATTTGTTTTTATTCTATTCTTAATATTTAAAATATAGAAAAACAAACTCTTCTACAAAAATTATAGATCTAACATTTAGAAAAATTAAAGATTTTCAAACTACTCAAAGAGGCGTGATTCACGTGAATTCTAATCGATTTAAAAAGCGGAATAAGACCCTTAATTGAATTTTTAAAAATAACAACTGTTAATTAACAAACTAGTTCCTTTTAAAAAAATTAATTTATATAATTAACGAAAAAATAGCAACTATAGTTTTAAAAAATTAGTAACTTTTAAAGTATCTCCCAAATTTATAATACATTTGATTAATAAGCACTGCAATTCTATTTTTTTTTATAGTTAAAGAAGCTAATATTTTTAGTGCAATCCAAATAATTATATTATTGAAGCCATTTATTTTGTACATTTAAATAAGTCGATATTTTCCTCGTGATTAAACAAATTCAAATTTTTATTACAATTACTAAAATGAGGATGAAATCACAAAAAACCAAATGAGCTTAGCTCATTGCTAAATAATAAATAAACGTGTTTTTTTTGGCAAAAGAAAGAAATGATTTATTTTTTTTACCTTCTTCTTTTTCTTGAGGTGAGTGTTTAGAATTTCAGAATCTGATCACTCATTATTCCTAAGATCTTAGATGAATTGGGATTTTTATATAAAAGAAAAAATTATAAAAAAGTATTTTTTTTTTAAAAAAAATGATATTTTTGTGCAAATAATAAACTTATTTTTAAATAAATAACACCCCCCCCCCCCCTTTTTTCATTCTTCCCTATTTTTTTCTTTCCATTTTCTTTTTTTTCCACATTTATTTATTTTTGAATTTTAAATATTATATTTTATTTTTTTTCTGGGCCAACAAAACAACCATAAGCTTTTTTAAACGATGACGTAAACAAAATTTGTTATTGATTTATTTTATGCAAATTTGATTTTTACAAAAAAAAAATTTTTTGAGATTATTCAGTATATGGATGGGGGAAGGAAGTCCTTATAACAAAAATAAGACTTGAGGGCTGATAAAATTACAAAAGATTCTATATTGTCTCCTCGATGCGATGGTCCTTAATAATCACCTGCCCAAAATATATTTTCAGATGTAAATATTTAAATTAGATTGAAGACATCATTGTTATTTTTTTTTTCCTATTTTTCTGAATCCGCCATTTTTTTTAACCTTAATATTCCGCACCTTATGTATTTTCATCTTTTTTGAAGAAAAAAATAAAATTCATTTTTTCCCCTCCATCTTTTTATTATTTTTTTATTTTACCCCATTTTTTTTTAAACAAAAAAAATATTTATTTATTTTTTATTATTTCCAAGGTCAGGTTCATTAAAAAAAATAAATAAATAAAAATGGGAAAAAAGAAATTTCGGAATTTTCATAAAGAGAAAAATTAAATATGGCGCATGCGTAGGATTGATTTAAAAAATCAACAAAATGGGGTTTTATATTTCTTAAATTTCAATTTTATTATAAATTACGAGAAATCGATTGCGGCAAATAATATTATTTAAATTTTAATCAATATTTTATCTTTTTTTTAATTTTTCAATACAAAACATTTGCCCAATTTCCGATGATTCAC